AAAAGAAAAAAGAAAAAAAAATGAAAGAAAAAAAAGGGAAGGGGAAATAGAAAGAGGGCCTTGAATGGGGAAATAAAAGAGTGGGAAAGAAAGGGGGAGGAGGTCCGTCTTCGTATGTTAAGCGTGAAGACAGATAGATAGACAGACAGATAGACAGGCAGATAGACAGGCAGATAGATAGGCAGATAGATAGATAGATAGACAGACAGAATAGATATGCTACGACCAGTTGAAGAACAAACAGACAGACGAGCAAGCAAGCGGATGAATGGATAGATGGGTGGACAGATGGGTACCTAGGATCGATCTATGGGAGGGAGGGATGGGATGGGATGGGATGGGATAAGATGGGAGGAGGAAGGCGAGAGGAATATGGGACCGACGGAGAGAGATAATGGGTGGGTGGCATTGAGCGTAAAGGATAGAGGATGAAGGAAGGGAGGGGCAGTCAGTAAGTACCTTTATAACCCTGAGAGGGAGAGGGAGGGAGCGAGAGAAAGCCCCTTGATAATGAAGATTAAGCCTTTTACATTCTATTAATTACTCCATGGTCTGAAAGCGATTAATCATACACGCCGAGATGGTCATTCTTACCCCCAATACTCTGTCTATATTCCTATTCCCATTTCAAAACCAACGCCCGAACTCTACCTAGAACGTATATCCTCTAAGACAGTTCTCCAATGCTGAAGACCTTCGTCCTCGGAGGTTGCGATGGTATCACGGGGGGTTGGTGAAGTACTTGCCCGGGACGTGTCATCTGCTGATAATTCTGGCTGTAGATCTCGCGCAGAGCACCCAGCCGTACCCCTGCCGGAAGTCCAATAGCAGCGGTCCCAAAACCCACTTCGTCCTCTTCCCCGGGGTGATTTTCCTCTTCGGTATCGTCGTCGTATAGGTTGCCGACGTATTCCCGGGAATCTGCATCACAGTCTCCGCCATCTTCCGACTCATCTAATGCCTCATCCTGCTCGTCCTCGTCTCCGTCCTCGTGAGAACTGTCGAATATGCGAAATACCGCAGGTAAGCCTTCCATGTCATCTGGGCCGCAATCGTTCGACAGGTCCACAAGCTTCTCGTACAGTCCTTCGGCTTTGTATCGCTCCTTCTCTTCCTCGTTCATGCCTCTCGCCAATTCCTGCATGCTGTCGGCGAACTGTCCCAGCATGAACCCATCTTTCGTCAACTCATGGCGAATCTGAGGTTCGTCACAAAGGGCAATGCTCTTGCAAATCTTTCGTAAAACCTGCATCTCGTGAGCATTGGAACTTGGAGCCGAACTTGAGAGACCGAGGTTGCAATTGGCAGGCAGAGCATTCTCTTTTCAGAAAAGCAAACTATACTAGGTACTCACTTCGAGTGCATTCCTTCTCGTCTCCCACCTCACATCCGGACCGGCCGCGGCCACGATGGCTTCTCTACTCTCGTCCAGAACCTGGCAAATGTCTCCCATCATCTCGAACTGCTTGCTACACGACAACCTCTTGTACTTTTTGTTCATCGTGTACCAGCAATCCCTGGAATAGTGGTCGAAATTCACCGGTGGCCTCGCCGCCTCCTCGGCAAGCCGGGCATTATGTGCAGATTGCACAAAAGCCGCGAGGTTCGGGTTTGCATGGCAGATCTGGTAGAGGAGGCTTTGGGTCGTCGGATGGGGGAGGGAGAGAATCTGACTCCACAGGGATGGCTCATTGCGTCGGCTTCTTTTGGCGGACGGGACGGGGTTCGATAGAAGGGATGAAGATCCATACGGCTCTGAGAAGCTCGCGTATGTACGCTTGGAGCTTTTGGAAGCCATAGCGGGCGGTTTTGGTGAGGGCAGTGCTGCTGCGACTGCAGCAAGGGAGGCGGATGGCGAGAAGCTCGATAGCTTTCGCGACTTCACGCGCCAAGGCCAAGCGCGGATCCCGCTTAACGCCCACGTCACGTGTTCGTATATGTGAGACCATAGTCGTGGTGCTGGAAGACGTGTTGAGACCTTTCAGCTTTGCTGAGAAGGGAACGAATTCTCCATTTTGTAGCCCAAGAGAGAGAATATGGAGTCAAGATGCCCCGACAGCTTCAATCTGTGACGGGCTTAGTTCAATCACCATATTCTTTGCTTCCTTCAGAAACAGCTGAGCGGCGCTCGATCAAAACCACTACTAAGCGTCCGGTCTCTGGGATCAACATATCACTTGCATCGCTCTAGCATTAGCCTCTCAATTTCAATCCAAAGAAAACACTGACTACTCCGTACTTCGATATCTTACCGTATGGCTAGGAGGTCAAGAGGTCCTTAGATCCAACCCCTCAAAATGCATGCGACAAAAAGCTCAGATCCGACGCAAGAAGCCAAAAGTCAACAGTCATGATCAGAATCTGAATCATATTGAAAATTAAATCTTCTTCGTCTATCTATCTATCCGTCCACTTGTCCACCTGTCCATCCACACACCGACATGGATAGCACTTCTCATCTCATCTCATCCGACCCCCCCTCGATATAGCACCATCCAGCACAGTAAACACCCCAATTCATCCCAAAACCATTCATGCATGCACCGCTCCATTGTATTACCCTCCGCGAATAACAAAACAAAAACAAAAACAAAAAACTGTAAGTGAAAAACCCGTCCTACCGCGACGACAAAGCGTCGAGTCCAAACGCCCAGCCAGCGACCACCTCGCCCTCGCCTTTGCCCCGACCCGACCCCAGTTACTCTCTCCCTCAGATGGAATAAAATTAAAATGGTGATAGAAAATCTCAATTCAGATGGTTGGAGGCGCATTATACAGGTCCGGTTGGTGAACGGACAATAGATATATGGTATAAGGTTGCGGTATATAATTTTTCGAAGTGTGGTTTAGACGGACCATGGAATGCCCGTAGTGGATTATCGAAACCAAAAAAAAAAATTGTATCGAAGCGTCGTGCGTTTATCTGTACGCGGGTGACCACCGTGTGTAAGTATCACCGTAGATGGTTCATTGCTGGGTGTCGTGGCTCGGCTCGATACTGCGTGGCTCGATGCTCGGTGCCGGCGTGCCCTCAACTCAGAGTGGTATAATTGTGGACGCAAGGTGTCCGACGAGTCGTTCAGAAGCTGCGTTGTGAAGGATCTCGACTCTCATCATTGCGTCGCTGGCCATTCTCTCCTCTGGCATTGACCCATTCCTGGGCACCGCTCTGTCTTCCAGCAGGCTGCTCCACCGGCAGTTTCTGATCCTGCTGTTGACGGGGAGCAAGTGCCATCATAGACGGGTCACCTGGTCGGATAAGAGACGACGCAACGGCCTCTGCAATCTGAACAACGACGTAGCCTCGCAGCTCATTGTCCTCCCGGCGGTCCTCTTTCTCGAGCCTGAAGCGTTCATCCTTGGCCATGTTCGAGCGGCGAAGACTACGAATCTCGTTCTGGATGTGAAGCAAAACTTCTTCGGGACACCTCCTCCGCTCAAGGGCTTGCTCAGGCTTGCGGACATAGCGTCTCGTCACATCCGTCGCTCCATCCATCGAAAAGGCAATGCAGTATGACATCTTCTTTCCCCAGCCCTCGGCATACAGCCGCGGGTTGTCCCACGCCTCTTCGCAAGCATCGACGTGGATCCACCGTTGTTGCATCTCCGAGTAGACTTCCGTCCAGATATGGTCTTCGGCGTTCCATACCCATCGCACCCGTCCTCCGACGGCTCGGCACAGCATGCTGAACGCGTTTGCCCATTCTCCACATCGTCCCTTCCGTGTTTGCAGTAACCGCCACACATCGCCGTATCGTGGGAATCGCTCGTACGCACCACAGTCACCAGCCGAACATCGATACAACTCGACTCGAAGGGCTCCGTATGCCGTCTCCTCGGGCGTAGGTGGTGTCGTGCCTTGCGCAATTGTTGGCGAGAGACACACTGAACACGGCGGGTTGTTGACCCAGGAAAAGAACGAGCGCTTAAACCATCTACACCGACGAGTTAGAACCGATCGTCTCTTGAGAGCAAGCACAACGTACCTCAGTAATGCGCGGATGACACAGTCTTGGTAGCCCCATTCCGGCTTGCGTCCATCGCCCATGCTCTCCGCCTGAGCCTGGAGCACTTGACTCTCCTCCTCTGCCTCGCCATATATCCGATCCAGGGGAATCACCTGCAATGCCTCATCCAGCAGTCCCGGGTTTTCGTACTTGGTAGGGGTCAATGATAACGAGATGAGGAGGTTCCGGAATTTCTGCGACTGCGCATCGGCCGGTGGCGAGGGGACCTTGGCTTGGTGCCTTAGCGAGGCATACGGTGGGGGGGATGGGCTGGAATGAGAAGAGGGAGTCGCAGGCCGACTGCCGGATCGTGGTGATGGCTGGGAGGCAGTTGAGGGGCGCTCCGAGGTCCTCCGCTCTCTCGGCGAGATCCTCTGTTCCAGTTCATTCAGCCGCTTCGTCCGCAACAGGCCCTCGAACTGTGCCGTCAGACCGCGCGCCCACCGATCGTCAAATTCCCTCAGGCCATTCTGTGCACTGCCGCCGTAGGGCTGGGAGTTGGACATGTCTTTAGTCGAGATGTCGAATTTCGCACTTTGACGTTCGAGGCTGATGGGGGGGGGGGAACCTCCGCCTCTGATGCGCACTCTTTTTTGCCTCTGCCCGAGTCGGTCCTCCAGTGGAAATGCCGTCTTTTGTTGTGTTAATGAATGAATGCAACGGGGAATCAAGTAGCTGGCTGGGTGGCTGGGTGGGCTGGTTGGCAAGGTTGAAGAGAGGAAGATGGAGTTGAGTGGTGAGTAGGGACGATGGAAGGTTGAAAGCAGAGTGGACTGGGTTGAACGAGATGGGGGAGGGGGGGGGGTGTGGGAGGGTCCACCTCCTCTACTAGAGTGGACGCGTGAGGAGTGGTGGATTAGGGTGCATGGAGGCGTGTTCAGTCGTCGTCAGCTTTTGTTTTATTGGTGCCTTAAGCGGCCTGAGGATGACTAAGTGAGGTGGAAGGTGAGCTAGGCGAGTCGAGGCGAGGCGGTCAATAGGGGCAGAAGGGTAAACAAAGCCGAATAAAGCCATCTAGGCCAACAAGACTTTCTGCGCCTTGACCCTTCCTGCGAGAACAGACTTCTAGAAGTCCTAAATATGCTTTTATGTGAATATACTTTATCTGAAGTTCTGTACACTGTACACTCACCATCCTCATCATCATGCCTCGTTTCATCCGGATTATGGCAAAACAAAAATAGATATACACAACCGCATCACAGTAGACCCGAAAGTCAATTTGACAAGTATGGGTAAGCTTATGTTCCGCCTCACGACGAAGTAGCACGTAAGTACTGATAACTACTACTACTACTACTACTACTACTACTACTACTACTACTACTTACCTCAATAAACTCGTCATGTATATAAGAGCCATACAGAGAGAGAGAGAGTACTGTTCAACATTCCTTTCCTCTTTGCCCCGCTTGTCTTCCTTTCTCTTTCTCTATACAATTACCCTACAGGCTATATAGCAAATACCTACACCCATCAGCCACCACCACCACTTACCACCACCACTGCGACCTATACTACCACTACTGTTTCACAACAAAACCCTATATCCACATGCAAGTACGTACGTAGTACATCTCCATCTCATCCCCATCCCCATCCCATCCCCCTCCCCATCTTCATTTCCGCCCTCCCCCTCCCCTGGGTAAAGCCGTCCACCGATCCATCCCTCCTCCACCCAGCACCCCAAAGAATGAAAACCCAACAAATCAACCAACAAAAAGAAGGTTCAGGTTGCGCGTCCAGGCCTTGGCCACCCATCTTCTAGAAATACCTAGTGGCAAGCAGCTTGCGCGGCCACCGCCACGCCAAGCCCAGCCAGAGTTTCGATGACAGTACCGACACCGACCTACTGTACAGCCAACAACAAGTAGGTAGTAATACAATACGTAACGTGACGACTCCCTTCTGCTACCCACTCTGCTCTCCTCTGCTCTCCTCTCCTCTCCTTCTCCCTCCACATTCCGTTACGTACTTGACGATAGATATGTACCGAGTACCAGGTGCTGCCACCACGAATCCTCACGGGTGCGGATGCGACCTTCCGCGGGTTGCACGAAGAAAGATACCTAGTCGTACGTGCTACTTACTGTACTACTACAGTACTGTGTACAGTAGGTACCTACTACGTACTTGCTGAAGGGATAGGTAGATACGGTAGTAGATAGATAAGTGGATACGGAGTCGGTGGGTGGAGCAGGGTACCCGAGCTGTCACACGCGGCCCGAGTGCGCGTTTCGGGGGTCCGTCCGTCGTCGAGTGACGAGCGGGCGGGACGGGCTCTAAATAAAACAAGAAGCCTGCAATCCCTAGGTACTTAGAATTAGCTGGAATGCTTGCTACGGTACAAACAAGTACTACCGGTACGTGCAACACACAATCTTTGAACCCAATTTTAGAAAAAAAAAAAAAAAAAAAAAAAACCCCCGAAAAGACGGGTAGCGATGTGGAAAACCCAGGCTCTCTCTCGTCAGGTTTAATTAGCCTGAATAGGCGATGAAACGAGCAGACAGGGAGAGAGGGAGAGATGGTGCAGTACCTACCGTACCTACCTACCTACCTACCTCCTATACAGCTGTACACAAATTCATGGTGTCGGCGCAGGTTTGAATAGAATGAAAAAATGAAACGAAGTCGAAAGCAGACAGAGGTCAGCTTGGTGGCTTGGAGAGCTCGATATGATGATGCGATGTGATTCGACCCATCTCCATGGCCACAATTCCTTTGATTCCATCCATGGCCCGCGTATTTTTCATCTCATCTCATCTACCGACATATAGCATCACACGACGTACCACTCACTATACAACACCAACCAATCCACGGAATCAAAATCGCAACTACCTAGTTCACCGAATTCTTATCCCTCCACTCCTGCTCGCCATAGAACCGCGGCGGCAGATCCGCGTCCCAGATCGGCCTCTCGACAATCGCAACCTCGGGCCCGTCCCCGTTCCCATCCCCATCCGCATGCCCCTCGCCAACCACCACCACCCCAAGAATCGGCCGGTACTTGAACGTATGCCAATGATTCGGGCTGTCATCGACGACCTTCTCCCCCCCTTTCCCCTGTCCCGCCTCATCCTCAAAGGCAGCGACGAGATCCACCTCCTCACTCTGCATGCCCTCGTGCTTGTCTTCCCGCTGCGTAACCCTCCGTATCTTGCGCGAGATACCCGTGCTCAGCGTCGAGTTGGCAATGACACCGCCGGCGCCTGATGGGTTTTCCTTGCCGTGACGAACGCGGCGTCGCTTCCGTGAGCCTGCAAGCTGCTGCTGCTGCTCCTCCTCATCACTCGGATCGTCTGGCACGCCCCGCTCGTTACTCTTCACAAAATCCCTCGTCAGATCGAACATCCAGAGCCATCCCACTCCGTAGACCCACAACCTCTCTTTCGTGCTGCCGACATCCCACAGCACGCCCTTCGCTTGATCCAGCATCTTCCTATACTGGGCCGGGAACGAGGCCGGGGGGTTGCGACGAGACCATGGGCTCAACCCGCCTTTCAGGACATCAAACTCAAAGATCTCAGACGTAGACGTTACGACGACAAGGCGCGCTTCCCCGCTCGGGAGCTCATGAGAAATGGGATGAGGCGTGTTTCGCGTCGGGTGCGGCACCACGCCATTCGCCACGATCTTCTGCGCGGTAGCGGGCCGGAACGACAGGACGACCGGTGCAGTGGGGAGTTTAGGGAGGAGAGAAGCGGAGGGATTACGCGTCCAGTGCTGGCCGTAGATGAGTTTAGGGGACTTAGGCTTCGAGTCCTCGTCGCTATCAGAATCCTCGTCGCTGTCTGGCTCGGAAGATGATGACGCGGTGGATGAAGAGGTAGTCGGGAGGGGTAGGGTCGTGTCTTCGATGCCGGAGAGGGCGAATGTGTCGATGTAGCCAGCGAGATCGCTGACGGCTAGAACTTTGCTGTCCGATGACCACGCAAGCTGGGTTATCGTTCTGTCGTAAGTGCCAAGGCCGCCAAGGAGAGTGAGTTTGTCGGTTTGGCGGGAGAGACGGGAGAGCTTGGTGAGGGCTGGGTGGATGGCGATAGAGGGTGATAAGGAGGGGTCGTGGGAGATGCGAGTCAGGAGGATATGGCTGTCTGGGCGGATTATGGAGAGCCATTTTCCGTCGGGGGAGAATTGGATGAGGCGCGCTCCTGTCGAAAAAGCTTCTGAAAGAGTGACTTTGGTGACTTTGAGGCTGTCGTTGTCATCAGCACTCCGGGACCGTAGTTGGAAGACCTTGATATCTGTTGCAGTCGAGACTGCGAGAAGGTTGCCATCGGCGTTCAGAGTCGCGGATGTTATGTTCGCTTCCCCTTTAATCAAAATCTTGGCGACCAGTTTGCGGCCTGGCACAGCAGGTCTGTCCTCATCATCCTCACTTGAAGGCACTGGTGTGTTGTTTACCCTCCAGACGTGCAGCTCTCTATCCCACCAACTCATCATCAGCCGCTTCCTTGGCGAGCTTCCAATTGTGAGTTCTTGGGGAAGGAAAGGTAATGATCGCTGGTTCTCGAATCCGAACTGGTCTAAAGGCGTAACAATAGGGGACGCATCCGGTCCTACAGCCGTCAGTCGAGATATAAAAACGGGCCAGGAATAGTACCTCCAGAAACCACCACACTCATGCCACAACCCTCGAAACTTGCCATAGCCTTCACATCGTGATTGTGAAACCTGCGATGCGAGACTTCAGCCCATCTCGGCTTTCCTTTTCCTTCTGGCTTATATGCCACAGTCCTCCTGTCCATTCCACCACTAAAGATCGCCGTACCATCAGCGCTGGCAGCAACACATAGCACGTCCTGCTCATGCGACTTGATCCTCTGCCTCAGGGTATATGTTTTCCCATCCCAAATTTTCAGCTCCCCTGTCGAGTCTCCTGAAACAATCGTTCCATCTTTTAGAACCTTCACAGACCAAATCAGAACCTCCTTTGGCGCTCTTCTGGGTCCAGCACCGGTGGTCATGCTCCGCAGCATTGCCCCAGTCCGGATGTCGAAGATGCGGATCATGCTGTCTGTACATCCTGCTATCACAGTGTTGCGGTCTTGGAAAGTAACACTGATGATCTTAGCCTTTTTTGCTGAAGGCCGCACCAGAAGTCGCTGCAATTGAAGGTCATCATCCTTGGTCGAGTAGAGGACCAGAGCTCCATCTGTGCACCCCGCGATCAGGTTCTGTCCCGCCCAATGCGATGTAGAAACACCATTCGACTCAGACTTCACCGGCGCAAGAGCTGGCTGCGCAGCAATGCACCAGATCTCGCCGTGATTCCCGCTAGCATTGCGCTTTGGTCTGCTGGTTTGCAAGTCCCATTCCGTGACCGTCGTCGTATATCCAATGCTGAAAAGTCTCGATTTCCCAAGAAATATTTTGCCGTCGACCACCTCGTTCGGATCCTGAGTCCATACCAGCCCATCAATACTCCGGTCTTTCCCTCCGCGAATAATCGTTTCCTGGAACCATAAACCCCTCTGCGGATTCCATATCTCGATGTCGCCGTTAGCACGCCCTATCGCGAGTCTCGGAGGGGCTGCTTTCTGGTTCTTGGATATGTAGGCGTGGGAGAATGCGAGCGCATTGATTGTAGAAGGCGGGAATGGCACGAATCGACATCGGTGGATATCCATGGTGGGCGTTGGGAACTGGGGAACTTTCGCACGCAAAATATATTTAATCCAGAAACTTTTCGAGACACTGGCAAAATTGTGCCGTGCCTAGGCGGTGAGAGGTGGAATTAGCTTGTTTGAGTTTAGCGTGTATGTTAAAGTTAGCTCTCAATCTAGGTACTACTACCTCACTTCCCATCTCACAACTTCTCAACACCACGGCATATCTTGTATCAAAGGTCAGATTCCTACGTATCTCATATCTTGTATGGAAATTCATTACATTTGGCGTCTATAACAAGCCTCAAGCATCCCTCTTCTTTACCAAATCCGTCTCAAATTCAAGTCCGGCATCTCGCCGGATCACCCCATACATCGAGGACGAGTCCATGGGCCTTCCCCCTTGGTTCTTCGAGAATTCCCTCGCTTCCTTCAGATGCCCCAACGCGACTTCAGCAATCTTCAATCTGGTGCCTGCATTCTCTGCACAAGTGATGCCGTGGCTAACGTCCTTGAGTGCCAGGTTCAAGTCGGACAGTGGCGTGCCACCTATCACGATCAGTCCTGTCTCATCTGTCTTTTGATATGATGGCAAGAAACATACCTCTGGGGGGCTCGTATGCACCGGTCGTCATGCGTTTCGAGATTGTCCCGGCTAGCGGCCCGAAATTCTCCTCGATGAACTTTTCCATTGCCTCGGTCCCCAGTCCGGTCTTTTCAGCAAAGACGTGCGCTTCGGCAATCATCTCCATCATAGATGCTGTCAGGAGATTCCTAACCAAGTCAGCCTTGCCCGTTCCCTTGTTTTTTAGGTCATGGTACCCCGCAGTTTTCATCAAACTTGACTTAGAGACATCCTCCCCGAGATTGATTACTTCTCTGCCCATCACACCTTTCAGGTATGGAGCTATAGCCTCAGTAGCTTCTGTCGGCCCCGCCACGATGAACAGTAACTTCCCTGCTTCTGCAACGGGCGAGGCGCCGGAAACAGGAGCTGCGGTCATATCAGCGCTGTTTCGTCTCCTGTCTGTGTATGCTTTACCCGATACAAATGTAGCTCCAGCTTCAGTCACCTTCTTCGATACCCGAACCGTTGTGTCTGGATGCACTGTTGAAGTATCAACCATGATCTTGCCGTTCAAATTGCCAGACCCTAGCATTTCAGCGACGATGCTTTCTAGGACAGAATCATCGCTTATCTGTCCCAACCCTTTAAATTAGCAATTGGGCTTTTATTTGTACAGTGGGTTACTTCCAGAAGAGAAGATAATATCAGACTTCGAGACAACGTCCGTAATTGTGGCGCAGGGGACGCCTCCAAGCTCTACCAAAGGCACTCCTCGAGATAGCGTGCGATTGGTAAAGTTCAAAGCTGGACCGCCTGATGCACTTAGATGCTTTTGAAGGTTCTTGGCCATGTTTAGGCCCATGGAGCCCAGCCCTTGCAATTCTGTCAGTTTATTTTCCCGAATTTGACTTGCGAGTTTTGGCCTACCTATCCATCCTAGTACTGGTTTTGCTTGAGAAGTCATGGTGAGTTAGCTTGGAGAGAAGTCAGTTCAGGGAAGAACGCCAAAGAGTACTACGGCGAAAAGATAGGTATGAACCGATTTTTAATCCTAACGACTTCTGATGTACCCCACTTTTGGAAATGACTCGTGCAGAGCCAGCTACTAGTCACTCTTACCTTCCCATTTATGCAGGTCTTCTTTCGTTCGAAATTTGGACCTGAGAGCTGTAAATTCCAGATTCTACATGAAAGTGGACTCGCGTAGATTTACTGTTCCCAACTCCCTCTTCGTTGTCAAATATATAGTTCCTCGTGTTATTGAGACTGGAGATCGACAGATTATAAGCTCTAACATATCGGAAGTGTTGTACAGTTCATTTTCTACTCAAAGTCGAGTAGGTAATTGCTCGTCCGAACCTGCGTGCCCGACTCCTCTGGACGCACTCTTCATAGTCGTCCCACGTCCGAGAAAGTTTCTACCGAAGAATCTGATGCATTTATGATATTTGCTGTTCGGCCTCACTACGCTTGCGCTTCTTTGGTGTTTTAGTAGGTGCAAAATTTTTCAAAAGGAAGAGAGAGAACGCGTTCAGCGCCCGTATGAGTGGAAGGAATAGCATGCATCATAGAAGAGGTGGTAAGCCGTAGTGCCAGAACGAGTAAGATCCGTTACTGCCTTACCCCTTGCGAGCGATCGTGTGAATTTTCTCCCGGGGCATCACCTCTGATATCACACGCTGTTTAATGTATAGCAAGTCTTACACCGTCAGCTGTGCGGTGGAGGCAGCTCGTTATTCCGCACTCTTCAAAGCAAAGCGATTCGAGAAAGCGAACAATTCAAGATATATACTTCTCTCCTTCTATTTTCTCAAAACAAAATAGCTGACTTGCCCGTGTTGCCTCTCATGAACAGGTTCCTAGAGTAAATTGAAAATAAGGATTGAAGTAGCTCTAGGTACATTGGCTGGGTTGGAAGGCCGATGTTGCGGAGATGAAGGACCCGAGTCTACTTCAGTTACCCTTGGCGCCATGCTCACACTACGGAAAGTGTTTGCTATCAGTCGTAATCGTATGATAAATTCCTCAAGGAATTCGGTCGCTTTCAATCCGACCTTCGCGCAATATTCTAGGCACTTTTTACTATTCAAGTTTTCTATAGGCTTTGCTTAATTTGGAATCGGTCGCATTCCAAATGCGAGTGGCAGCAAGATTTCTCGGTTGCCCTTCTATAAAATCTCAGAACAAGAACCTGCGAGGCATGAGGTACAAGAGATGAGTTTTATTTTCTATAAGAAAGCTGCAGGGTACTTTATATTCCGAGATCTGCATTAGCAGAGCTTCTGCTAGTCATGTGGGATTTTGACGTGAAATATCCGGTGAGTTGAAACAGAAAATATGGGATAACAGCGTGTTCTAAACACGCTTCCAAAACTGGATCTCATTCGATTCATTCACCAACTGGCATCCAAATGGATCCACGGGGATTTTGATAAAGGACTGCCCTTGCGGTATCAATTGCTTGCCAAGTGAAGCGCAAAGCCCAAAGGACGATCTTGAGACACAGTCAGAACCTGTATCACCAGAGAGAATTCACACTAATTGTATGACCGTGTCACTCCTCCTCTCGAGTACTCTAGCAGTGGCGGCGTCAGCGGCCTAGAGTAGCCAAACTTATTTACGAATATCAGACACCTAAGGCATACAGTAACACCAGACTCGCTGCAGGAGCTTGACTCGTTGCTAAGGATAAGAAGGTCCATCACCTCTCCGCATCCGTCGCAAGACAAGTACTGCATCAAGTACTGGATTCGGGTACACATTATCAAGAATGCTTTAATCCAAAGCTGTTGTCAAGTATTGCTCTGCTGTCAATCAGACTTCTCGCTAGCTCAGTCACTTTCTCGGAGCCCGTCGAGAAGCAGTCCGGAATCTGGATTTCAGAGTTACGAATCCCTGATGCCACTTCTTGAATCTTACTGTGGTATATATGCTCAGCACTTCGCATCGAAATGTCCTACTTATTTAAGTCTTGTGTCTAGCCTGGCTAAGCTTGCAACTCCGCTGCCTGCTGGGACGGCTGCGAAGGGGAATTGCTCCCTCCTTCTGCTTTAAATAATCTGCAAGTGTCCGGGATTCCAGGTACTTGCCTATTTGGACTCAGGGGGAATGCGGAGACACTTACTTACACGGCAGTGAGTCTGTGTGACTGCAACTGACTGCGAGAAGCGAGAAGATGTGTATAATTGGCGGGAAGGCTGTGATCTGCAAGATTTGGATGCACTAGAATATTAGAGAGCATACAGGGAGCGTTCGACATAAGCGCCCGGCTATTCTGGCTGATTCTCAACCTTGCGACGCAGATGCCAGCCGAACTATGGTTGGACAGACTTGACTACGACTTTGAAGTTGACGGCTCGAACAACGCGTCCCCTCCCCCCCCCTTAATACAGAAGTGACGCCTATCGGAGCAGCTATCTAAGGAGGCTCCGATCACTGCGATAAATCAAATAAAACTTCCGGTATTCAATTTTCTCGCTACCTTTGTTGTCAATGTTGAAGTGGTTGCCAACTTCATCGCAGCTTTATACTGCGGAAAAGTGCAGTCGGGATTCTTGACAAGGCAGGTTACGATTCAGACAAGCCCGGAAGTTTGACTTCCCATTCCAGTTGGCACAGGAGCCCCAATCAGACAACTTCCTACTCGCTCATAGAGTCGACTCCTTTCATTCCGTTTCTGACACCTTCCTTCATGGTCTTGTCCAGCCAAGCTAGCCTCATACTCATCGATAGCGCTCGAAATCATCTCTTCGCTTCGTTAAATAGCTTCAGACAATACTTGAGGACACATACGATTATGAATAAACATTAATAATTGCTTATAAACCCTGAGAATTCACCCGAGGAACAATTCATACATCGCGCCGAGGATAACGAGGAGCCCGTGCTAACGCCTGCTTAAAAGTCCCGACGTACTAACATCAGGCTAGAAAGCAAGTCGAGATATCAAGTTATGTTCCAAGATTAAGACATAGCGCATTATTTCCTGACGCCGAAGTCTACGATTTGGCGTTAGTCTTTATGATAGCGGCAGGATAGGAGACTTTCAATGATCTGCAAGGCGTCATCTTTTAGCTAGAGAAGCTATAGGCTACTTGGAAGAAACTTTGCTCAACGCTGCTATAAATATATTAAGAAAGAAAATAGACAACGGCTTGCTCAATTCAATGTTCTAGAAGCAACGCCGCACGTAAGTCCACAATAATGATATCTAAAGTTGCAACGTCTTGACAACGCCTGTCACCCGCCCGACGTTAAAAAATACAACAACAAGAACAAGAACATCTTGACAACAATCGGTGACGACAAGATAGTCGCTATCAAGCAATACACTTTCTACGCCTTGAAGGTAGAAATTGCGGAGATAAGGCAGACCCAGGACTCGCCCGACACATCTTCACCTTACCCACCGACGACAGATCTGATTATCAACAAAAACAACACCAAAAGCGCGCCGCTCCAGACATAGGCTATCAACCAAGCCTTACAGATCAATTCAACTTTAAATTTCTTTGCATCGTATCGACGCAGTCGCGAATTATCTGAAAGTATTTGTCGGATTACAAGGGCCAATGTGGCAGTCAGGAATGGAAGGCACGAGAAGCCATGGGCTTCCCTTGGCACGTGAGGGTGGCACATGCACCCATGGTCCCCTTAAGGGACCATTAAAATTAGTATAGCAATACCAGACATCCAACAAAAACACAATCAAAACCGCATAGACTAGTCTATCAACCATCACCTGTGATATACCCACAGTATTGATAGATACCTGCTGTAAGTCTTGTGTATCGGGCGGTGCACAAGGTTCATTCTCAGGCAAGGTCTTGTGGCAGCCTAGCTCTATCACAAGGTTGCGTCGAAGATCGGGCTTACATTTAATTCCTTTGAAATGAATCTGTTTGCGAGCTGCCTATTCTCACTTGGTCTGCTTCTTCTCAATCGGTATTGTATCGTTCGAGTCTTACGTGCATCCGGCACGTTATATGCTAGGCAACTTTGCGTTGTGGATGCATCGATTGGTTGCTATAAGAAACAATCCTTGGATCTGAGAATCCAGGCGTCAAACTGATCAGTAATCCTCGAATCCCTTATGTGACTAGCATTACAGCCCATGCGCTTGCCTGGGTCCCAGCCCCCCATACAGAGCCAGGCTAATCCGGAAATTCTAATGAAGCCTCAGTAACCCTCTCCCTGGACGCAGCCATAATCTGTTTTTAAACGAAGCATACGAATAATGGTGGAACCTACCCAGTAACAAAGATGAATTCGTTAGGGTCCGGTTAGATAGATGCCTTAGTCTGGAACTTTTGACTGAGCCATATTGATACTTTTCTGGATGATCACATTTGAGATAGAGTTACCGGTAGCGTTGACCGTGAATCTGGGTAGACTCTTGGGCTCGCCAGCCACGCGGAGAGGCTTAGCTGTACGTAGAACTGCGAGTCTTGAGAGCCTGAGCCACCGACCAATCAACTACTAGTATAAGCGAAGAGGCAATGGTAAGCACGAAGCTCCTGAAGACGGCAAATATGGCCGGCATCTTGGCTACTCGACTGAAGCCATAATAAGTACGTGTTATCTGTGAAACACTAGGGGGCTAAAAGGGTGAGTCTTAGGTCAAGGTGTTTTGATCATGGAGTCATGGTGTACTTCGAGTCAAGAGTCTTGGCGAGGATACCAGAGTATGTAGGCAAAGAATTTAAAGCGCACTTACATTCATTGAAATTTCAGTGCGTTACCCCTATAACTTTAACTTTCAGCTACGCTCCTGAAATTATCCACCCTCCCCCATTGAAAATTGCATTAAGGAAAGCATGAGACCCTCAGGCATTAGCTGCGAACTCATCGCGGTCGCTAATGAAAGAGACCCACATTTGCATCGGCAAAATTATAAGCGAGCGTGCAAACATCAACAAAAACAAAGTGTATTGAGGAAAAAAAAAAAAAAAAAAAGGAGCCCACCTACATCAATGATGTAGAGTTTTAGAGAGTGAAATTAATCCCAAAAATTATCGCCGAATAAAGTGCCAATTGTTCCCGTCCAGTTTGTCCTGAAGACAGCTTGCCTACCAAGCCATCCCGCCTGCTGGATGGTAGAAAGATGAATTATTTCGCCTTATGACCCAGGTAAGAAAATTCTGAGGTAGGCGAATTAGTATGTGAGTGAGCCATCCAACCCAAGAATCAAGATGGCACCTGCTAACTAACAGAGAAACAGATGAACAATGGCTAGAAAGCAAGATTTGGAGCAAAATATTCTCTTGCTACTTCCGCCTTTCAGGTTGCTTTGCTAAGTCGGAAAAGTAGGACGATGGAAATATGAGTTTTTTTATCTCATTGAAATATGGCTAGACTCTGAAGCGCATGGCTGAATCTCAAGAATGACCGCCAAGGCTTAAGTAGTTAAGAAAGCAATACATTCGCTGGGACGAACTCACGCGATACTGACCCAGCGGCTCACACCAAAACGCCTCCGCTTGAGCCGTGTGCCTTGTAGAGATCCAAGCACCAACCAAGACCTCAGGCTGCAAGAAACTCCTAGTAATTCACACCAAAGACTTGCGCGCCATGACTGTCAAAATCAACCATCCTTGAAGACGGCGACGGACCACTGATCACTATCAACGAGTTGACCACTAACATAGCCAGTTCCAATTCTAGGGTCCCAGTCTTGCAGGCACTGTTGTGCAATGTAGTCCACACAGGTACCGATATAGTAAAGCGACGGGGAGCCCCAGTTGTCTCTATCTCCCTGCGACACACCCCGTCAGTACTTCCATGTCATCAAGCACTAGGACGCAAACGCGGAGACATACCAGGTAGCAGATCCATATCCCGGCATCCCCGAAGCGTGCGAGCCGGCCGCAGGAGTGCGCGTCCATATAGACGATGTTCGTGCCGGCAAGGGTCAGTTGGTTGCGGGCAACTAAGTACCGGAGGCGTCAGTCTTGACGATTGCCGCATCAGGATGATCTCATGTCTTTTGGTAAACATAAAGATAGGAGCTTTCAAATACTCTAATACTTACAAGGGACCAACTCGCTGAAAGTGCGGGCGGAGGCAAAGGTAGGGTAACAGGTGTATTGTTGCTAGGAACTCGTCAGCTGCAGTCCACAATCCAGATAGAGGACGAGGAACGGAACTCACGGCGAACATTTGTGAAGTACTAGCGCGTGAGCGCAGATGATCGATGTTGCGCGGAGCGCCATGCTGTTCTAGGTCTGTGGAAGGCTTCCATTCTGGATGGTCGAGTTTGACCTGGGCGATGATTTCGTCGAGAGAGCCGGTATTGTTAATCTGGACTCCAGGCAAGCCGAGGAACTCGCCTAACAAGCGGGGAGGTGAGATGGTTAGGCCTTTGCTCTCGAAGTACTGGGCGGCAGCGGTGTTGAAGTTGTCCACAGAGCCTAGAGTCAGGGTGGGAGAGAAGTTAAGGATGAGCAAGAAGTTCAGGAGGTTGATGTAGATAGCTTGCATCGTGACTGAGCTGCTGTATAATGTGTTTATCATAAGATGGAGTGTTATCGTATTGCGTTATGTTTAAGTAAAGAGGAGCAGAGAGGGTCTTTAACTTCTGGAGGATATATATGATGAAATTTTAGTGAGTCAGAAGGGCACTTTCACCTTGATCAGTGACTGGTTGTCTGTGAATCATTCAGGTTAAAACTTGAGGTTTAATATAAATTTGGATTCCTGGCAAGCCATAACGAGTGCGTTATATTAAAGGGTTATTTCTCTTTCATTGACTGAAGTGAGAACAGGACAAGGCTGCACTTTTTTGATTAATTCTATGAATTCGATCAACAATTTGCAATATTCAAATAGAACTCGGAATCCTAAGCACTGGGGTAGCTTGGGCGAACGAACTTGATCGAATTTCCTTTGGAAAAAAAAAGAGAGGAGATGAGTTCAGAAGTTGTCTGCATAATTCCACCAAATACACATAAGCCTTCTTGAATATTTAATAGCTAAAAGCATGATCAGTAGAGCTGAACTGTATGGATACGGTCTTACTAAGAGAATGAAGGGACAAAAGCAAATCGATTCCTCTTTTCGCTGCCTCGTTATTTCTAGCTTATAACTATTCTCACTTTTTTCTCGGAATTCTATTATCATTTCGTTATCGTATATATCTCAACCCAGAACATTCTCCAAACTCAATGTAAGGATGTCGTTAACATATGATAAACACTAATCTAGCGAAAAAGACAAAAATAGCCCAGCGCCAACCTCGAAAGGTAAACAAACGTTCGAAGAAGTAATCTGCGCCCTTACACAAAACCAGGAATACTTCAATCATCATTACAACCGTGTCTGCAAATAATTAACTAGGCAAGACCGGGAGGATAGTGAATAGCCAATCTCTGCTACAGAAATAAAATCCAGTTTGGTAAGTGAAAGATCACTTCACTAGTCCTAATTATTCCAGAATCCAGCTCAAGCAGCACGAATATATAACGCACTACAATCTTTCTGATCCCACGCAAAGCCCAGCTGTCGTAGTACAAGGGCCAATGTGGCAGACGAGAATGGAAGGAACGAGAAGTGGTAGGAAAGGGAGGTGGTAGACCTGGCACGTGAGGGTGGCACGTGCACCCGCGGTCCCCTTAAGGGACCGACACTACCAGTATAGCAATACTAGACATCTACAACCCAAGCAACAAAACACCTGATAGTACTATCAACCTGTGTACCAACACCAGCCGTGGCTCTTAGACCTATTTCTACGATCTCCTACATATCAAAACTTTCCGGCCAGGGGTAGCACATCCCAGAATCCTCACACCAAATTCCCTGCCACAGGTGCCACATCACAGATCTAGAGCTGTCAATATATGTATATATATATATATATATATATATTAGCTTGTTACTATCAAATCCCCACTCCACTCTCGCCCACTCTCACACTCACTCTCATTTACACCGTCAAGCGCCCTCACTTCACCCCTCCCCGTTTCCATACCTTATTCAAGTAAATAGCAAAACCCTACGTAATACTACTACCTACCTACCTACCTACCTACCTACCTACCTATAGCAAGAAACCACAGGCGCAACACCAAAACTCAGCCAGGCTCATCTAGTATGGAAAAAGACGAGGATTTTTTTAAGCAATAGTTGCATTCCACGACAGTGCAGCCAGTGCAGGCATGACTGGTGCTGCAGCGACAACTGGCAAGCACACTTAAAAAAAAAAAGAAGAGAGGAATCGAAAAAGGTCTCCTCCCAACAAAGCTCTATTTATACTGCTACACTCTCCTCTCTCCTTACTATTCTCAGAGGAGTAAATCCCCGTGGATGAATGCGAAAGCAAGCTCAGCGCTTGCAAGTACAGCAGAGTGAATGAATGAATGCCAAGTTGGAATCTTTTCTTTGGCTTTTGAATAGGATACATATAACAAGGAAACATGAACGTAAAACGCGATTAATTTTTTCGGTTTTTTCTTCCTAACTTTCAGTATTCACCTTTCTCATCACATCGTATAGAAATACATCTATCTATCTAGCTTACTGGCTGGATGGATTCCAAGGCAGCAAAAGAGGAAGCGAAGGCTGACAGTCGAGAGTCACCGGAGCAATGGAATGAATTACTTTTGCAGGACCTGATATATACCGGGTACAGGCTTTCTGCAGCTGATTGCATATGGACGTGTTGCTTCTATGCAAGGCTACATATATACTAAGTACCGCCATAAAGAACCGCCAAGAGGTTCAGACTGGGGAATCAAAAGGAGGCATCACCTCACTTTGAAGCGAGAAGGCGGCCGGAAAGAATCTGGTATCAGGCACATTGCAAAAAATCTATCTAGTAACAGTCAGGTACGATTACAGAGCCTTGATGCTTAAACGTCATCAGCAAACCAACCTCACTCAGCCTTATCCATCAGCATCAGCCACGCTAACAATCCATCCCAATACGCCGCAGAATACCTTACAATTTCCGTGATACAAGCCGAAGATTGAGGCGGGTCAAAAACACTGGTTGCAGCCAGAAAAGAAGAAGAGATTGTGCATCTAGGCATCACCTAAGGCGGGAGAGTTTCGTCCAAACGCATGCACCCGGGACCTCGAGCAGCCCTACGCTCGAATACCAGAAATTATCCGTGCTCGACAGTATACCTCGTCCTTTTTCGCGCGGTGCATATACCCTTTATCACTGAAGTACCTTACGCTCCTGCTCGCGCCGTCTTTGCTCTCTGCGCTCACGCTCTTCTCGCCGAAAGTCGTTAGAGGTGGCTTGGGATAGAAGAGGAGCACCTCGATCGTAGATTCCTCTGTCTTGGTTGTGGATGTAAGTTTTCCCGTCGCGGGAGGTGGTCGAAGTGACATAGTATCTCTCTGAAGCAATATTTCCGTTAGCAGTAGCACAAATGATGCACGGAAACGAGAGGGGGTCTGCGATACGAACCGTTGTCTGTAACTCTTCGTTTCTCCACTCTCTCTTCGTAGCCTCCATTCCCCATTGTGGTTGTGGTCCTGTTGAAGTCTGTAGACAAGCGAGTGGAGGGGTTTCGGGAATCTTTTAACGAGGAGCCAGAGTGTATGACGGCTGGCTTCAGAGTGTAGGAAAGGCGAGAGTTCGAGTGCGACATTCTCGAGATTGAATAAATTCTGTACTAGCTCTGCGGATACACGTGTTTGTTTGTTTCAAGTAGGGCAAAATGTGAGGTTATACTTTCAAGGAGACGGAGTTTGGTTGGAAAGAACGTAGTACTTATACCTATGAGCCAGCACGGTAGCGAGTGGGAGCAGCCCCCAGCCGGTCAACCAGAGCCCAAAAATCAGGCAGTCCTGGATGAGATGGGACGACGTGATTGCTCTCTTGCCCCAAGAAAGAGTGCCGGCGGAACTGCTGCTAAATACTGCCCTAGTTTGCCTCCTCTCACCGAGACGCTTCCAGTCCGTGCTTTGGTCACATTGAGACTTGGAGAGAGCCTGGAATTTGGCAAACTCGGACGGGATGGAGAAAGGGACTGACTGGTTTAAGGCAATTCCTATAGATCAACCTCACCCCCGGCTCTGGAGTAGACGCGTACGTACCACAGCCACTGGCAAAGGTGCATGGCGGCTATTCAGACGAATGGAAGGCTGTCGCTAGAGTATAGACGCAAGAATATCCATGTCGGCGAGGAAAACCACCAAGGCAAGGAATCGAGACAGAGAGTAGAGAGCAGAGAGCAGAGGGCAGAAGGCAGAGGGCTGAGGGCAGAGGGCAATTTCTCAGAGCATGTGCGCAGTGTGGCAGGACATGGCATAGCAAACGAAAGACGGTGAGACTCTCTGGAGGCTTTGCTCGAGGCCCTCTGCTCGAGGCTGACCGAATCCTTCGCTTGCCCTCAGAACAGCTCATAAAGGCAACACCTTCACACCGACGGCATAGATTTTGCGGGATTAATTTTCATGAAAATGCAAAGACAATGACCGCGAAGAGGTTGATCATCATAGTAAAGAATTGAGAAAGCGTTTGAAGCAGAAGGGTCCAGCTGAAAATGCTGACCCATGCGAGCCCAAGGACTCGTCAGCGTGAGATCCGCATGAATGAGCATAACCGGCTGAGTCTGACAAGATTGTGATTTGTTTGATCCCGTGACGACAATTGCCCACGCATATATCCCTAAAAATAGAGAGAAATCAGAGGTCGCCAGCAAGATATGTTGATATTGGTGTCGGCAAGGCCTGGGACCGTAACAAAGAGAGAGTTGCAGAGAGTGAGGACTGAAGTGAGGTTGAAGGCATAAAGTAGATCCGATCCGATCCCTTGGACGCTAAACCCCATGTGTGTGCACTGAAAGCTGCCCGGCTAAATAGCGGCAATCTGTCTTAAGCTCAAGCTCAAGCTACATCTCCAGATCCTACTACGTAAATCGACAACCCAAACACCTCCTATCCACCGCCGCCTCCTACTTACAAGACCAGGATCTTCTTTAACACTTTTGTCTCTGAGAAGGTTTAAACCCATCTCTTCTCTTTAACAATTTTAATCAATCGCTAACACTGATATCAACAAGATCTACTACAACAATGCGTGTCCTCACCCTCGCGTCTTTGGCTACAGCCGCCCTCGCTGCTGAAGTCACAATCGATGTAACCCGTGCCGTCGAGTGCGACCGCAAGACCAAGGTCGGCGACAAGATCTCCGTCCATTACAGAGGTACTCTGCAGTCTGATGGCTCTGAATTCGACGCCAGCTACAACCGGGGTACCCCACTCGACTTCACCGTTGGCAGGGGACAGGTTATCAAGGGGTATGATGTTGACATACAAGGCTGTGAGGAACAAAGACTGACAGGTCTAGATGGGATGATAACCTCCTGGACATGTGCATTGGCGAGAAGAGAACTCTTACCATCCCCCCCGAGTTTGGCTACGGAAACAGTGCTCAAGGACCAATCCCCGCTGGCAGCACACTGAGTACGTCCTTCCCTCAACTCCTCCACTGCATACCTAACGGAACACACAGTCTTCGAAACCGAGTTGATGGCCATCGCGGGCGTCAAGGCTCCAGAGAAAATTGTTGAAAAGCCGGTCGCTAGCAAGGCTACTGAAGGTATTAAGGCTGCCGTGGAGAGCAAGATAGCTGAGGCTGCCGAGGCCGTCAAGGTTGTTATCTCCGATACTGACCAAGATGGACAGGAGCACAACGAGTTGTAGAGATGGCGTCGGGCTTCCGGGGATATCTCTGGCTGGCGGTATACGTTGGGATTGGGCTGCTAGCTGTAAAAGTTCTGCATCTGCTTCTGAGCTTTCTGCAGCGTGGTAGATGAGGCATTTCTGCAATGCAATACGTTTCTTCGGTCTTTCTTGTTGAGCTTGGGAGCCGTGAATTGATGAAACCCAGGTTAATGCTGCAAGAATTGTCGCATGATGTATTGAGAGCATGCACCCAGAGCTCACTCTCTCAGGCCACCAACCTTCTACTCAGATACCCTCCCACTGCTGGGTTGTTGCGCCCGCCTAGATCTTTCGTATAAACGAGGCAAATGAAAGTAGTGCGACTTAGATGATGACCGACCACCTACGCCAACGACATACTTCCCAACCAACAGGTCAGATCAAGAACAACAAACTCCACACCCATACAACGGTATGAACGTCCAACAGGAACAAAATCGCCAGTCCCCACCCCCCTTTTGCATCCCAAAGTAACAAAAAGATGGCATAGGCCTAGCGCTCTCCGATATAGTCCTTGCATAGCCAATCTAATTCCTTTTTGGTGGGTTACCATTGCTTGTTAATTACAGCATCAATCACCCCCCAACCCCCCTCGCGACACAACTCTCCCTCGGGAACTAAGTCTATTGAGATAAGAACTGCGATTTTAAGGCTTGTAGAAAGGTGTTGATGGAGTGATCTGCAGCTGCCTTGGTAAGAACAAGATTCGATATTGTAAGGGATTTTAAATCGGCTTTTGCCAATTTTTTTTATCGATACGTGAGATCTAGTATATGATATTAAAGCTATCGACCATGACGCATACTGGAGCTACGAAAGCAGGAGAAATACGGGTCAAAATCTTGTACAGCTTTGGTCACCGATATTAAAACAGAATTGTATGTATACGAAGTAGTGGCGCTGAACCAAGTGGGCCCTAAGATGCTCTCCACTTCTCTTCGCCACTTCTTTCTGCTGGGTGGATCTAGCCATACTAATGCCACACGCGAGATTGCTTGTCTCAACCTTTTGTTTCTTTTCTAAGTAACTTGACCTCATCGCTTTTCCTCGGCCATCGATCAATGCCAAAATCGATAACGACAACGCCCGGATCGAACACTGCGCGATGTAAACAAACCATGCTAGAATGCTCATCTTCGATGCGTCGGTACCGACTCACTTGACACTCCTATGACATCCAGAACTTACCACAAGAAATACGCGATTTCATGATCGTTTTGCACTCCGATCCAATGGACTGGAAACAAAATTGCTTTGTTTGCAAGTTCCTCCAAGGACCGGCTAAGAAAAGTGGGGGAGCAAATTATCGTTTCGTGCAATCATCCCCCGTGTCAGCTCTCTAGGAGCTGCGCTGTTCTAGGCCATAGTCGTGCTAGAGCCCAGCTTTAAAACCAGCTCGCAACGCTTCAAGATAGGAGTAGTACGAGGGACCCTATATAGGCCTCAGAGACCGGTCGCTTTGTAGGTGCTCCAGAAACGGGCTTCGGAGTCCATCTATGAAACCACGGCAGCCTCCTCCTTGTCTTCCTCAATGCTGCCTTCCTGAGTCCACATCAACCATTGCATCATTACTATGAGATTCCACTTTCGAAGTCGAGTCTTTATTGCTCTGACGATTCAATGTCAAAGCTCGCTATAGGGGTGGGTGTAAATGATTGGGTGGAACTCGTATCTGCCTATCTGCAAGTAAGAAGTTAGTATAAATTGCTCTTTGGGTGCAGATGAAGAAGCTTTATGTCTTCTCAGACCACAAGATTGGAGTCTTGTCCTTGCTCAACGGGGTCGGTTCTTTCACCTCAGCTTCTCCTTCCTTATTATGCTCAAGTGTCTGCGGGAGCTATAGCTTGCTTTGTAAAGGCTCTGTGACTTCCGCGCCAATGCATCTTAATCAACCGATAGCGGAATCACTACTGTAGATAACGCGCTGGCCTCGTTTGGTTGGTCAGGCTGTCACCAGGCGTGTGTTGCCGGCCTATAGTTTCGCCGAACTTGATATTTGATCGGTCGCCAACGTAAACAAATATGATAACCACGACGTGATCGACGTCCTCCATTGGCGACACTACAACGCGCAAGATGGATGATACCACGCCTGCGATGCACGAACGTGCGATTCCAAAAGGAAAAGGAGACGATACTGTCCGTTCTCCCTCAGGAGCCATTGATCAGAATCGGGTTGCTCAGCGGCGGCAGCGTAAGTTCCCGACAGCTGTTTGATCTTTACTTTGGTATCAAGTACAGTTGGAACGCCGCTAATTGATCAATGATCCAGGGGCGAGATCTTCGTCTTGTCTGCAAGGAGCTCGAGCCCGAGGCAACGAAGTACTTGTTCGGAGAGCGTACTGTTTGCTTGCAAGAGCGCAGCCTACAGAGGTAAATACACTCGGATTCGAATGCCCCTAGTCTCCCAAGGACTTCAGTGGCCTTTACTAACGGTCCCAGACTAGTCATGATCTCTTCTCAGAGCGATAAATTCGGAAAGCAACGCTCGGAAAATCGTCATCGGACACAAACGGGTCTAGACAGTGTACATGACGCCTATATTATTCTTTCATGGGATGTTCCACGAATCTGGCAACCGAAAGATGAGTTCTGCGAACTTGCATACTCCGAGTGACGATTTCTCTCCAGCAGAGCAGTACCCTGAGCGACTGGAATATTGTGCCATGACTCGAGCCGAAGCATTCGAACTGTCCAGAAAATGATGTTGAAGCCGGGTCCGGCGAAGCAGCTACTAGCCGCGCGATTTTGGCCGAAGAGGATTACCGGCCCAAAAAATTGACCCATTTGCTGATGCGTTCATCTATGCAAGATACAGAAGTGAAGGTTGGATTTATCGGGGTGGTCTTGGTGGCTTGATCATACGATGGATACAAGCAAGTTGACCTATGATCAAGTATGTCCTTTCCGATCTCGAGACAAGCAGATTGGTCCTAACAAAAAATAAGAATTGTTCGGCACCAAAAGGGCGCATCTCGGCCAGCAGGCTAATAAATTGACAGCAAGTATGATTGAAAGGCGCAGACCCTTTCCTCCTCACGCCGCTCGTCAATCACTGAAGAAGGCATCAGTCTCATACCTGAGCGCTCATTTTCGTGCCCCCAGACCGTTGCAGATAGCGCCAGACGAATGAAACTCCCCATAGCAATAGATTAGGACTTTTAGATTTTCTGAGATGGTAAGAACCAATTGCAAGAACATGTGCGGGCCCTTGCCCTCAAATATCAATCTGTAAGTCGGATCACACAAATTATCCCCCAGATAATGGTTAACTAACCAAACTCTACATGGTGTTTAGGCTGGCCACTCTGCCGTAGAGGATTTCGTGCTTCACACATCTCAAGTGGGACTAGGAGCCTGGGCCATGGGATAGTTCCCTGCCTCTTCGTCTCAACTCGAGTCTCCGATACGGCTGCTGCTATCCCGATACTTCAGGACAGCAATGAAGATGCATCCAGCTTGGCGGCACGTTTCATCCTGCAGCAGCCCTTGCCATGATCCACAGTTGGCTGGGCTCATGAGGTTGCATTTGAAACTTCAAAATAGCTTCCTCTGTCGAGCATTTTCTGCTTTGCATTGTTCGTGATTATATACCGAAGTACAGCCCTGCCTTGTGCCTGCGATCCTGCCGTCTAGCAGTCTGCACAGCGGGAAAGGTTTGACTAATACCTCGATTCCTGTCCCAGCTCTCATTTTCTGTTATTAGCCGTTTAATTAATTTTTTTTCTTGCGGGAGTCAATTAGAGGTACTTTCCAGATTTTCGTATATAGGATCTGGTGTCCTACAAGTGGTCGACACACCGGGCTTGTGAATGGTCCCGTTCCTGGCTTTTGGCTCCGGCAACTTTAAAAGGCTCCCATTGCTCCTGGCTTTAAGCAGATGTCGTTTTCTGCTCTCTGGAATCAGTATACTCGATTTTACTGCGGAGAATGGGATGGTAGACTTTCCAGAGTCCCAGATATGCTGCCAAACTCCCAACTTCAGCCGTTGCCAGAGACTGTTATCATTTGCAGCCTCAGATTATTCTAACTTGCGGCTCCTCGAACGTTGTCTGCTTGCTTCTCGTACAGTCTTTGGGTTATTGGTCTTCTCTGTTTCTCAGCTTTGATAGTGAGCTCTCAATTCCAGTGGTTGCCGGATATTCTGGCCCTTCTCAGTGTTGGCCAGATCTCGATTCCTCCTTCGCAGATTACTTCTGGCTCATGTCTTCCAAGTTTTTGGAACTATGATCTTGCCTGCTTGTCAGCTTTGTATATCAGCTTTAAAGCCAGATGATTGCCCTTAGAAGTCTTGTCGCTTGGCTTTGCATAGTTGTCACTTCGGAATATCTAAAACCAGGTTAGCTATTATTTCACATTGGCTGAGACGGTGGACTTACCACAGTTCGAACTTCACAGTTCAGCTCTCTAAGAAAAGAGATGTACCTTGAGATGTGACCAGTGGTGGGCTGAATCTTTGTCATTTCCTATCTCCCAGCAATAGCAACAGCACACCCAGAGTCACAAAGCAAAGATTAATCCCATTGTCCCGATCCTCCCCGAGCAGATCCATTCTTGTCCTACACCCCACCCTCTGCTCAAATCCACACCGAAGAATCGTGTCCAGGCACTGCCTCTCCCACCTCACCGACCAGCGGCTCGGTATCCAGCGGCCGTCCATTCCTCTCCACCTCCTCCCGCCCCGCCTCGGTCAGATCGTCGCAGACCTTGCACCTCAAGTGCAAGCAAGGCTCGAAAGCTGGGGCTCTCTCGCCGGTGGCGCGGGCCCGGATGCACTTGCGACCGGACGACGAGATCCACTTGCGACACTTGTTTTTCCGTTAGCGTTTTTTCGTTCGCCACTGGAATCCTGGGCGTAGTAATCAGAAAGATGGATGGGTCTAGGGACTTGACTTACGCAGCAGCAAACCCATATTCCGCTTAGGCTTCCTCTGGTCGCGACTTTGACGGCGGGGGCTGGCGCTTCGGATTGCGACGTTGCGACTTGAACGCCGGGTACCGCTTGCGGTGCTGTTTCTGCTGTGGTATCCATTCTACCTTGATCTGGGCCGGGTTCGATGAGGGACGCGGCGTTCAGGGTCGGGCTCGAGGCTGGTCTGGTGGTCGGGTGGTGGTCGCGGTGGTGGTGGTGTTGTCACCGTTGGTGGTATTGTCGTCGTTGGTGGTGTTGTCGTCGTTGGTTGTATTGTTGTCGTTGGTGGTATTGTCGTCGTTGGTGATGTTCTCGTCGTTGGTGATGTGCTCGTAGTTGGTGGTATCGTTGTCGTTGGTGATGTTGTCGATGTTTGTGGTGTTGTTACCGTTGGTGGTGGCGGCCGCGCAAGAGCTCAAGGCGGGGGTCAACATCTGGCCGAAAGTAGAGCGTCTTCTTCTCCCCGCGGAAGACGCAGTTCTTGCGATGCCAGCGGCCGAGGTGGCACGCTTTGTAGGTCTGATAATCGACGTCCCAGAGTCATCGTACTCCTCCTCATTGACTGTGGTGGTCTCGCTGCTGGTGAAACCGGGCGCCAAATGATTCACTGTTGCTGATGAATCGGGCAGACTCAGGTCAAGGGTCAAAAGCCTCGCCCGCCGAAGTCGCAATTAAGGACGTTGTAGGGATCCATCATCGTCGGTCCTTTTTGTCTCGGATGGATTTTTGATTTTTTTTGATTTTTTGCGTCGGCGCCGGCGTGGGTTGTTTACGTTGCCGCCGAAATTGTTGGCCGTGCTAAGCGAATGACTTAGCGTGTTATCAACATGGCGAAGTTGCCAGCAAGGCTCATCGACCTTCTGTCTTTTCTTGCTTGATATCTATTTTCAGCTGCTTGTTTCATTTGCGTACTTTTTGCTCCTGGAGGCTGGATGTCTAATTCTCTATTGTGGACTCTGTGACGCTGGTGGGAGTATTCGAGAGCGAACTATGACTGCGCCTGCGATGTCCTCACGGTAATGGGCACATAACTGCTAGTTGTTGTTAGATATTACCGAGAAGAATGATCTCTGTTAGATGTGGTGGTCATATTCTCCAATTATTCGGTATCCAATGTCCTCGGCGGTCAGCAGACATTGGCCCAGAAACAAAGTCTAAGCTGGCTGTAGTCTTTGAAATCGGATTATTCACTTGTAGCCCGAATGCTCTGAATCTCCCGCTGCATATGTACAGCAAAACTTCATTAACCCATTGTTCCAGCAATCCACTCCAGACTATGGGGAGCAGATTCTGCTGATTCCGAGGAATGGAAAGATGCAGTGCTGGAACATGTTGCGAGGCATAAGGTAGTGAGTGCACGACCACATCCAGGGAGTATCCAAGCAGCGAGAACCATTTTCCTAGAATCATGCGAAAATTTTTACCAGGAGTCTTGGTAATGAACGGTGTTCGGCCATACAGCCGCTAGCTAGAAGCTCGACCATCTTAAAATAGTCTTATTAAGCATTGCAAGAGAACATAGACGCCCAGATGCCTTGAAATAGATTGATAGAAAGCCAATCCCTCGACATTTTCCCATGTTGATACGCTTAAACTACTTTACTTGCGAATATCATACCTAGGTAGTCATTAGAGAAGGAGAGGGCTTGGCCGTCTATCAGAATCGGAAAGCTGGAACCTCGGGACATTCATGGCCTCCTGACCTCAAACAGAAATAAACGATAGGACAGAAGAGAATGAAGCTGGTAGAGACAGTAGCAAGACATGAAGAGGAGTAGAGAGTCGATGGAAAGATGGAAGGAGAAGATTTTTGGACGGCCAACTGGAGGCAATTATAGTAGCGAAGGAGGCAGAGAAGTTACATAGGGGGGACAAAAGGAAGAATAGTATGACTGAGTGCTGAGGAGCTACGAGGGTTTGAGAAGTATCAAGGAGCTAATGCAAAACAAAGAGAAAGGAGCCACAAAGAGTTTTAGCTAGTTAGTGTAGTTACTTGTGAGGTTCTCGGATCGAGAACCATTTGCTTATCTAATAACGACACGTTGTGGCCTAAGGCCACAAGGGCCACTCACTTCACACCAAACAATCAACCCTCTCTCTACAATAGGGACAGTTTCCCCATTATCTGAAGTCAGATCTTTATCCGTATAGGAGGCTCGTATTGGAGCGGATGAAACGTCGGTCCGCCAATCGAGTAGCTCCTGCGGCCGGATCTCACTCCCCTCGGCCTCGAGCCTCCTTGGCCGCATCTTCGCAGGTCTTGCATCTCCTACGGCGGCATGCTACGAAGCCGAAGATCGAGTTATCGGCGGCCCTCATCTGGCGGCAGACGTTGAGATGCGTATCCGTCCATGACCGGCTCTGGAGATGCTGTGATCAGAGAATGCATCTGGATGTGTAGGCAAAGAATGGGTGCGAACCAGACAGCAAACCCAGTGGGACTCTGCACTCTTGACCCTGGTGCTGTTCACTATCAGGTTGTTTTATGTATGGCGTTTCTTGTGTTCGATTCTGTGGATGCCTGTTCTGCTCCGGGTGCGTTCCAGTGTTGGTTAGCACGGTCTTATTTGAATTTTCTGAACTTTACGCCTTGAACTTCTTACTTGAAGGACTTGCAACTATGTCCATTGTTCAAATTAGCTCCAGCCCGCTTATATTCACAAGGATGTTGTTCGTTGCGCCTATTCGCACTTGAGCATCAACAGTTCCACTTGGCTCCTGAATACTTGTGGAAGCAAGAATGATTCACGGAGTCTATTTCGATTTATGTCACTTACTGGCATTGACGATGGTTACGTTTGATTCCTACTCCTGCCCGGCAAACTTCTGTATATGTCTGGACTAGATCATATTCCGACTTCTCGACTTCTGAGAGCCAAACAGTCGGGTCTCTGCCCTCGCTCGACAGCTTTAAACATCTTCTGAAGAGCCAGCGCTATCTCATCCCACTCCTGTCTCGAAGGGTGTCTTGTTGCAAAAGTCGCAAGAGTCTGTTGAATGGCTGGGGTGTAGCGGGTGGTAGGTAGGTAGGTAGGTAGGTAGGTAGGTAGGTAATGGGATAGACGACTGTGAATGAATAGTGTGAATAGATAGTATTAGGTACCCCTTTCTCTACTTGGCTCCCGCGAACTCAGAGGACACGGACTTTGAAGTACTCATCGAAGAACTCTCACAATAAAATCAGAATCGATATTTACATCGAGATGGGATTGCAGACTGCCCAACAAAGATTTCAAGATTATTTATTGAAGTGAACGGAGTAGGCACATGACTGAAAATGGAGTCGGAGGTTTGAGCACCAGACCAGGCCTCGCGTTCAAACGAGCCAAATTCTCTCATGTTCAAATGCATCAATAGGTGACCGAAGCTAATGGCAGAGGCAGCCGTGGGATCAGTCAGTTAGTAAACTCAGTCAGAGTTCTGATTCTGGCTTTCTCCCGCGGTTAAGTCATTCTAAGTACAAGAACAGTCGTCGTGCTGATCACTTGAGAGCCACACCTGCAAAATAGCCCATGGGGTTTCGATAGAAACAGGTAAAATTCATTATTCTACTCCTTTCTCTCAGATCATGTCGTCAAGATTGAATTCTTTGTATTTCTGGTGGGCCCTACCAGGCACAAACTCCTTCGTGTTTCGCTCCATCTCCTTTCTTTGTCCTTCGGCCCTCGTCCGGCATTGTCCATCTTGTTCAGAGAATTGTGCAGCCTGTTCGAGTATTTAGGATAGCAGCTTCATACAGAAACAGCCTTCGAATTGTGTCTACATGAAGGGTATTTTCTCTTGACGAAAGCAAGCATCATCAACAGATTATTCAGACTCTTCGACTTCGACAACACAGCCACAGCTTCACACACACACACAAACATACATAAGCAGAAAGAGAGCTTCAGCGTGACATCGACACAAGCACAGAAAAACGCGCACACACACACACACACACACACAGAGACAGAGAGAGAGAGACACCATCATGCAGCTCTCCATCAGCGCCTTGAGCGCTGCGCTCGCACTCATCATCCACCTCGGAGCTGGCCTCCCGGCTACACCTCCCCCCGCTCGGTTTCCAGGGCCACGAGCTGCGATCTCCCTCGCAGACGGCACCGCCCATCACGTCGACCGCGCCGGCTGCAGCCAGCTCCCTCCCCTACTTCGACACGTACATCCAGCCCGAGCGGCCCTTCTCCCCCGCCGTGTGCGGGCCCGAGATCTGCGACGTCTTCACCGAGACGACGACGCGGACCGTCAACCGGGCGAACCCCTCGCTCGTGCTGGTGAACCAGACGGAGACGTGGAAGGCCGGGAATACGATTACTGTCACTAGCGAGGTGTGGATGCTGCCGGCTCGAGAAACAGCGACGACGGCGACGGAGGCGGAGGCAGAGGCGCCGGTGATGACGCGCGCGCCGGTGTTGGTCACGGCTACGTTTGTGGATGGCAGGGCTGGCATGGCGACGACGGTCGTGGAGACGTTTACGAATAGCTGAGGGGATGCGCTGGCGCTCGTCGGATCCGTTCCGGGGGAACCAATCTCTCGCGTCTACTGTTACTGCGATCAAGGACGGCGGTCTGTTTTCTGGCCATGTATGTGTATAATGTGCTGCGGCGTGTTATGGGATTGAGTTTAGCGAGGCTTTTGCCTTCCCCCCCTAAAAAA